TTTTTATTATTTTTGTATTATTTAGAAAAATTAATGAATTATTTTTTTTTTATAAAAAAAAAACTTTGTAAATTAAATATTTCATATTTTTGTATTTTTACATTTCTATTTATTAATTTTGAACTTTAAAAATTTTAGAATCAAAAGTTTAAATTTTATTTTATATTGCAATAAAAGATTTAATTAGATTTATTGATTGCTGATTATTACTTATTAACTTTAAATATAGTGAAAAGTATTTTCTTTTTTTAAATTAAACTTATTAAAAATATAAATTAATTTATTAGCTAAGAATTAATCAATTAAACAAAAATTTTTTTTACAAAAAATTTGATTATTAATTAAATGTTATTAGTAAATTTTAATTATATATAATTAATTTTAAGATATAAATATTTTATTTTTAAATAAATTTAAATTAATATAAATTTACTAATTCAATTAGCTTAATCAATAAATATTTCAAATAAAATAAATAAAATCAAATGTTTTAAATTATTTTATATTCAATAATTGAAAATATAAAAAGATTTTATAATAAACAATTATAATTTTTAATAAATATTATAGCATATTTTGAAGATTTTCAGATTTATATTACTTAATTTTCAGATTATAATCTCTTTATATTTTTAAATATTTTGAAAAAATATTTCTTTTTAACCATAATTATAAATAGTATCTCTTAAACAATTTTATATTTTGCCAACTGCAATATTATTAAAATTATATAACTTATATTTAACTAAAATTTAAGATTAGGTAAAGACTAATCTTAATTTAATAATCCTAAGAAAATTATTAATATTAAGATTTATTCTTATAACAAAAGATATTTATAATATATATAAAATAATTAGATTTTTTATAACTAGAAATTTCAATATTTGTTAAAATCATTTGATCTATTTATTAAAATTTTAATTATAACTAAAGTTGCTTGTTTAAACTTATTTTAAATTTGACAAAACATCTAAACTTTAGTTTACTAATTTTTAAATAAGATTTTAATATAATTTCACTAAATTTTACTTTTTCTATTTTAAAGAATTGTAAAACCTTTAGGTTTCATTTAGCAACCTTAATTATAATATTTTAAATTATATTTTTTACACTTTACTTAAGCTATATTGATTTTAACTTTAATCAAAATTAATAATTTTTTAGAATTATGATTTTTAGTTTAGAATTAGATTTGATTACAAAAATTTTACTAATTTTGATCAAAATTGAAGTATAAATTGAAAGCTAAAATTAATAATTAATTTATAATTACAATATAAACAATTTACAATAATTTCTTGAAATTAGTTTTTTATAACATAAAAAAAGATTTTTTATTTTATATTTATTTTTATATTTATTTACATTAACATTATATATAATAAATAATATATAATATATGAATGTTTTGTAGTAAAAAGAGAAAAAACTACCAAAAACAATCTTTTAAGTTAATATTAAATCTGAATTTATTTTACTAAAAAAATAATATTTAGCCTGAATATCTTTTATTAACTCATAAATAATATATAATAAAATGTATTTTTTTACAATAACTTAATTAATATTAATATTAGAAATATGATTTACTACTATTAGATTCTTCTTTTTATTAAAATAATTCTAATAATATTACGATCATCTAAATCTAATTATTGATTAGCTTAAAAACTGAGGTATATAGAATAATAAAATTTGAAATTCCATTGTAATATGCAATTCTGATCAGAATAAGATTATTTGTCTAAACTTATTTTAAATTTAGCAAAATGTATAAACTTTAGTTTTGCTTTAATATGATTTTATCTTTTCCATAATTTTGCAGATTTTTTAATAAGGTTTTAATATAATTTCGCTAAATTTTACTTTTTTTTATTTAGATAACTTATAAAACCTTTAAATTTCGTCTAGCAATTTTAAATCAAAATTTATATATGAACTCTATACAAACTCTAATTTGAATTATATAAGAGATTTTTAGAATCTTGCTTAAAATTTTTTTAATAATTTCTTTTTCTCTATTATAAAATACTCATATTATTTAATATTATTACAAAATTCAAAATACTTTTAATTTAAAGATTTTTTATTATAAAGAAGTATTCTTTAAATTTACTCTTTTAATAAAATAAATAATTGTATTTTAAAAACAAATCTAACTAATCTTTTTTATACAAATTATTATTAGATTCAATTTTAGTTTTTTTGTTGTATGATTCTGTAAATAATTCTTCTAATGCAATTGGTCGTTTATTAATATTTTTTGAATCACTTTCATTTATTTTTGTATTAGAAATTAAGCAGTTTTCTAAAAATATATTTAAATTAAATAAATTAATTTTAAATGAAATAAATTAAAAATAATATAAAAAAAAATATATATATACCTAAGTTTTCAGTTAATCCTGTTTTATTATAATTTTTTTCAATAATCATACAGCTTTCTAAAATAAATTGAAATTAAAATAAGATTAATTATATTTCAAAAATAAAATATTATAAAAAAAAAGAATTACTTGAATCTTCAGTTAATCCTATTTTATTATAATTTTTTTCAACAATCAGGCAGCTTTCTATTATAAATTAAAATTAAATAAGATTAATTTATATTTCAAAGTTAAAAATATTGTAGGAAAGAAAAGAATTACCCAAATCTTCAGTTACTCCTGTTTTATTATAAAATTTTTCAATTAGACAGCTTTCTATTATAAATTGAAATTAATAAGATTAGTTTATATTTCAAAGTTAAAAATATTGTAGGAAAGGAAAGAATTACCAAAGTCTTCAGTTACTCCTGTTTTATTATAAATTTTTTCAATTAGACAGCTTTCTATTATAAATTGAAATTAATAAGATTAGTCTTATATTTTAAATATAAAAT